TTAAAAGTTTAACTATGGTAAAATATACATTACATAATTTTACCAGTTCAATCATTTTTAGGTGGACAGCCCAAGAGCATGAAATATATTCACACTTCACTAGAACTTTTTTCATCCTGCAAAACAAAGTCTATGCCCTTTAGGCAACAGTTCCCCCACCTTCCCCCTTCAGCCCCTGACAACCACCATTCTATTTCTGTCCCTATGAAGATGACAACTCCAGAGATAAGACAGTTGTCCATTTGTTACTGGCTTATTTCACCTAGCGTAATACTTTCGAGTTTCATTCATACTGTCCAAAAAGCTCTTCTTGAAGGCTGAATAATATTTCACTGTATGTATATTTTGTTTATTTGCCTGTAGACACTTGGATTGCTTCCATCTTTTAACTTTTGTGAATAATGCTGCTATAAACATAACAATCTGCCATTCTTGTATCATCCATACATACCTCGTCCTCTCCCTACCCCTCATTTGATTATTAGTGTTATTTGTAGGAACTATATTTTATTCATCTTTGTATTTCTCTAACTCAGAGCCTGGCACACAGTAGGTGTTTCAAAATATTTGGATGGATGAATCTTCCAGAATTATCATTTTTTTAATTTAAGCAAGGTCCATAAAGAATGGGCACCTCATTTTTTTCTTAAAATTGCAGAATAAATATGCACATAAAATTTTGTTAAAAATTAAATTTATGAAGAAAAATAAGAATTTGATGCTTTCAGTATACATTAGCAGAACAAGGAAAGATGCTGAAGAATCTGATGAGAGATTTTATTTTTATGTCAGTACCCTCAGTGCTGTGGATAAAAGCCATTTATTTCTGGAATTAAACCTTTGGAATCACCAACTTCACTTATTAACAAAGATAGACTCATCAATAATGGAATTTTTGATTGATTCCATGTGTCAAGAAGATAATCCAAGAGTAAAACTTGTCTTTTTGTAACCAAGTCTTTGATAGGGTTAAGCAGTTGTGTTTAACCGTCCTTCGGGTCAGGGACGGAAAACTCTACTAATGTGATCTGAGCTTGAATGCTCACGGCCTGACTTGCCTGAATTAAAATCGCTCTCAGTCAGTAACCCCAGCGCCTAGAGTGTCGCCCAAGAAGACAAAAGGTTTAATCAGCCTAACAGGAGAACTAAATCAGCACTTCTTACAAAGGAGGGAATTAACAAGACACCTTACCTACTCCCCTCCACCGCTGCAGAGAACAGAATGGGGGCGGCCATTTCAACTGCAGGAGTGGGTAGACAAGCGAGTGCAAATGGGTAGGCATTGAGCTGGGCCTGTGGCAGAATGGACAAGCGAGTGCAAATAGGTAGGCATTGAGTTGGGCCTATGGCAGAAAGGACCTTCACAGCAGCTCACCTCCTCCCTCCTGGGAGCAGTTCATCTCTGAGGGGCTTGGGTGTCCACTCAGAGAATGTGAGGGGCTCCCACTTTGAAGAGAACGCTTGTGATCACCAGAAGGTGTCCAAGGGCAGACAGAATTGAGGCCTTCGAGAAAGGCCCGAGTCTACAGCAGACCATACACGAGAAAGCTGGGCTTCAGAAGCCACCTTGTGTAAAACTCAGACTCTGCCCTGTGCGGGTCATGTGACCTGCTCCTCTGTAAGGATCAGGTGAACCGTGAGTATGCGCACTTCCTTAGAAGATGAGTACTGCCAGGGAAAGCACCCTCTGTGCCTGCTGCCGGTCAGACCTTACACGTGCCTCTGGTAATAGCACCAGGTTAGGGCAGGACGGTTGCCCTGATGGGTGGGAACGGCTTACCTAACCCTTACCCTCCCAAGCTCCACTGAACGTGTCCACTTCTCCCATGTTCACACCTACTGCCCCGAAAGGATTAGCCTTTCCCTCTCTGACTCTGGTGGATATTTTGCCACCCAGCCCAGCAGCGCGACACTGTAGGCAGTACTTGTTTCCATGCTCAGCTGAAACTGCTGATGTTGTTCTCTAAGCTCTCTGTGAGAAAGGCCCCCTCTGTCACATTTCCCCTGAGTCCTTCCCATCCATGCCCATGTCCTTCAGTTTGTTTCTATGGCACAGACATCTGACCAGGGGGATGTCATCTCCAGTAAATAGACGACAGGCCCCAAAATGTTCATGTCTCCCCAAAGATGAGATTCTTTCTGCTCTCCTACAGCTAAAGCCTGCCTTAGTCTGCTCTTCCATACAAATCTGATTGCAAATTTGAATTTTTTGATCCCTCAGCAGACTTCTTCTTCCTGGCAATGCTGGGCCAAAGCTCCAGGAATGAATGCTCACAGCTCCAATGAGCATATCCTCTGAGCAGCTCTAAGCTGCCTGGACACAAGCGTCACTCATCAGGCCCCGTGCTCTGAGACCTCTTTACCATCAGGCTAAGCACTATCTCAGCCACACGGAGACTGCAGGGCTCCTATTACAGGAACCAGGGCCACGCACATTCTGTGGTTCTTTAACCAATATCCCTGAGGTTCTACCTAAGGGCTAGGAGTATAGTAGTGAGTCCAGCAGGGCCTCTGCCCTCTCGAACTCCTGGTCATGGGGACACCAGTGAAGATTACCCTGCACCCAGGATGTACCAGGCACTGTGGAAGCACTGAGTAGGGGTGTGTGACTGCCACACACAGGCCTGGGTTTAAAGGATGATGGCCCAGGTAGAAGGAGCAGAGCTGGCAAAAGCATAGGAGGAAGTGGGAAAGGACCTGGCCTGTGACTAGAAGATGCATTTCAAGCATAAGGTGTACAGGAGAACATAGGAAAGTGACACAGAAGGACTCTGGGAGAGAAAGCTGGGGACTGCTCCTGCCCTCATGAAGCTTATAGTCTAGTGCAAAGATTAAATAAGCACACAAATGTAACATCCACACAGTCCTTGAGTAGGATAGTGACGTGATCCAATTTGCATTTTAGAAATTACTCTGGCCGGAAGAATTAAAGTGGTTGGGGAGGAACAAAAGAGGAGAGCAACATAAAATTGAACACCTACCACGGCAGTCAGGCCTGTGCCAAGGGATGGAGAGCAGGGGACAGGCTGATGAGACGTTGCCCTGGGAAAAGGGGACAGTACTGTGAGCAGCCATGGATGATGATAACTCCAGAAAGAAAAACAGATTTAGAGTGCAGTCCAGATGGGATAGTAATTGGGAGTTTTGGGGCCATTCTGAGTTTGAGGTTCCATCCAGGTGGGGATTGAGACATGAGTTTGGTATGAGAGAAGTCTGAACTGACAGTGTTTATTAGCAGTGATCAGTGTATGAGTGACATTGTGCTCATGGTTGAGACCTCCTGGAGAGAGAATTAATTGCCCTGCTGTGGTTCCAAGGGTGAGAAACTTCCAGACCACAGGAATCGAATTCCAGGTGGGCTTCTGTTGGTTCTCACTGGTTGATCTTTCCACTTTTCAACAAGGAAGGTATAAATTTCATGCCAAAGTAATAAATGTCATGAAAACTCTTTCCCCTGAGGAACTGATGTGTGTTTTTCTCCTCATAGACAGTGTAATATTTGCATTCTTCCCTTCTTGCTTTGGCTGCCGGGAAGCTCAGAGCTAGTTTTGTAACTTTTTATTTCATTTTAAGAATGTTTATTTATTTGGCTGTATCGGGTCTTAATTGTGGCATGTAGGATCTTTAGTTGAAGCATGCAGACTTTTACAGTGACACGTGGGATCTAGTTCCCTGACCAGAGATTGAACCCAGGCACCCTACATTGGGCCTACAGAGTCTTAGCCCCTGGTCCACAGGAAAGTCCCTGTAACTTAATTTTAGAAACCACATAGGACCTGCATATCCAAATGCTCTTTTCACAAATAAATACATTTTATATGTTTAGGTATTTTCCAGCACCAATTTTTTTCTTTGTTTTAGGGACCTCAGTTCCTTTGTAAAACTAGGTGGAGTACAACTGTATACAAACAAATATTCCCCTTACTCTATTATTTTAGGGTCATCCTTGTGCAGTAAGTCTGCCCAGTTGCTGAGCTAATATTGACTGTATTTAAGCAGGAGGGACTCGGAATTTACAGCAGCTACACAGTAAATTTAACACTCACCTAACTCATTAAAGCAGGATGAAAGTGGAGCTTCAAACGTCTGTGTTTGCCACCAAGTCTGTGAGAGGAGGGGTACCTTTAATTCAGTTCAAGATGTAGAAGTCTGATCTTTCAGAATTGAGAATACACTGTTGAAATTAAAGCCTTGTCTGTGAAGATGAGTACTCCAAATACCTTCAAAGAAGGATGGAGGTGTTGACTACAAAGATGGGTGGTTTTTTAAGCTTAGGGTGTCGTTTTCTTGACTCATAAAATGTGGTTCGGTAAAAGCAAACTTCCTTATCAAACAGCATAAGCACAAAGTTACCTGGGTGATAAAATCTTATTTTTGATCATCCCTGGTTATTATTTTAAAATTATAACTTGCTACTGGTTAAGATCATTCTATAAATGGTTTTCAAACTGTGTTCCACTGCCTTAGGGACTGCAAAGGTGTGGGATGGGGGGAGGGGCACGGGATGGCGAGAAGACCCCCCAGCAAGAAGAGTCCAGCCAGCATCCCCACCCCCAGAGCAGCTGGGCTATTGAAGGTAGCAGGGCTCCTTCTGCATAAAGAAGGAGATATCCAAAGAGCTCTTTGATATTCAAAGAGCGGGTTCCTCTCCTAAGAGTGCAAAGAAAAGTTTGGGAATCATCCCGGTGAAGGGCACGTCTCATAACTTGCTGTTGGGGTGTGACTGTGGCTAATATGGAAGCGGCTGGGGTTTGGAATCCTGCTTTTCATTCCCACCCTGCCTCCTACCAGCTCTGTGACCTTGGGAGATGTCTCATGCTCTCTGAAATAGCTTCCTCAACCGTAGAGTAGAATGCCACCAGGATAACAGCCACTTCACAGGTCTGTGAGGATGACATACATCAGCAGATGCAGGAGTGCCACCTGCCAGAGCTCAAGCACTGATGGCTCTCGCTCCTTCCCTCTAACCCTCCTCTCTCTGTCTCATCTCCGTCTCCCAGGAGGAACCAATCACCTTCTGCGAGGAAGCCTTCGTGTCGCACTATCGCTCAGGAGCCATGAGGCAGTTCCTGCAGAATGCCACCCAGCTGCAGCTCTTCAAACAGGTGCCCGGCCTCCCTCGCCCGGTCCGCATCTGGGGCCCCGGTGGGGTTTCTGCAGCCACCTGCACTCTAAGCACTGAGGCTGAAGACATGGATGGGACTCAGTGCAAAGAGGCCCAGGGTCTGGGGAGGGAGACTGAGTCAGGAGGGTGCTTAGCCACCAGACAGTGCCTTTGCAAATACGCCATACAGTTTTACAAGTTATCATAAACAGCCAGCCAGTTTTTTAACCTCACAATTCCAAAGGCCTTTTCCTGTCTTGGTTCTTTGGTCATATACTAAGGAGCCCAGCTGAATGGCTTTCCCCTGTTTCTTTGTACTAGCTGTTATGCTTTTGTTCTTTCTTTGTATAGTTTATAGATGGTAGATTAGACCTTCTCAATTCCGGCGAGGGCTTCAGTGATGTTTTTGAAGAGGAGATCAACATGGGCGAGTATGCCGGTGAGGGCAGTTCATTTTTCTTTATGATCTGTGATCTGTGTGGGATTGGGGTGTGTTCACAAGGAGTGGCCATGACTTCTTTTTTCCTTCACTGGGGATGAAAGAGAGACTGATTTCCAACTTGGCCTTGAAACGTTGGAGGAATTCCGTTCCCTTTTTGATGAGATGTGCACTGGTCCAACTAAAGTCCTGCATCTTGGGGTCACTTGCTTCTCCCCAGGTGGGTGAAGTCTAGATAACCTAGTGGCCCCCACAATGCAGTGGAAAGCATACCAGGTATTGAATTAGGAGACCTGGATTTACTGCCTGGCAGTGAGGACTTGGTCAAGTCATTTCACCTCTTTTAGCTGAAGTGTTTTTATCCGTGCATGGTTTGTAACAGTACCTACCTCACAGGAGTCCTGTTGAGATGAAATCAGAGACCCTGAGGAAAAGTGTGTGCAGACACCCAGGACAGACCCTGGCACAGGATCGCTACATGTTTCTTAATGGTGTAAAGATCATCACAGGGTGCCCTTTTTGAACCAGAAAAATCAGGCTCTCATTTATTCAGAAGAAGCATCTGAGGCCCAGAGAAATGGCAGAGGCTGACCTTGCCTCCTGAATCCCAATCTGTCCACCTTTCCCAGTCTCAGAGCCTAAGTCTTTGTTGGCAAAGTAAAGCTAAATGCAAAACAATGGTAGTCAGCTCCAGGCCCCCTCTTATTGCTGGGCATGTGTCTGGTCTGGACTATGCTGGCTAATCTAACTGGCAGGGCATAAATTCATAGAGCCAGGCATTATCTCACCTACGAACCCCTTTGTCAGGCCTGACTAACCTGTGCTGCGTGGAGAGCACAGTAATCAATAAAACCAGTGTGCAAATCATTGGTGAGCGTTTCCTGAATGCCTTCTGTGAGCACAACTCTGTACAGTAAGAATGAGAGGGGGCCCAGTTCTGCCTTCAGGGAACTTTTAGACTGCCAGGAGAAAACTCACAACTAAAGATAAATACAAACTAAACCATTGCAGGAAAAGGAGCACACATAGGTCTTTGTGCAGGTAGGATAGGGCTCTATTAATGCTCACTCTGTAACATGAGAGCTTTACAACGGAGGCAAGTTTGAGAAGTGTCCTAACAGTTGAATTGATGGGTTCTGGGGAGAAGACAGGCTTCAGGTGTTGATAAGCTAAGTCGAGTCATTCAGTCTTCTAGAAAAGCTGTCTGCTGATAAGACCTCCTTATCCCACCAGATAAAATGAATCCGTTCCCCACAATGCCCTCCTTTCCGTTTCCTGGTACTACTTGAGCGTAAGGAGGGCCGAATGTGTGCTTACTGGACACACAGCCCTGTGGTTCCTGCCCTGGTGTGACTCACAGAATTTGAGAGAGCACGGACCTATCGGTGTTACCTATTCTAGAGGGCTGTTCAGAGGAAGGAGTGGGAGAAACTCGCAGAGGAAATGACTGAGCTGGTGGCTGAGTGTGTGCAGCAGAGCGAGCAGGGAATGCTGGCCAGACGGGAACAGCGGTAGTGAGGGCTTGGACGGCTTGAAGGGTGCACGGTCAGGGAGCCTGAGGTTGTACAGGATGGTAGCATAGCGCGGGGCAGAGGGTGGGCAGTGCCAAGACAGGATGGAGGAAGAGAAGCGGGGTTGTTAAGGGCTCTGACCTCTATCCAGTAGGCAAGGAGGAGGGTTTGGGTTTGTACTCAGGACACTGATAGAATCAGGTAGCGCTCTGAGAAAGAAACCTGTGGCAGCAGCTCCTTCAGGGAGGGGGCGTGTGAGCCTCCGTGTGGTTCTCCAGATTTTGAACTTTCCAAGTCCTGCATGCTGAAAGCAACTTGAGGAACTCCTGAGGGCATGTGTATGACTTCTCTAAATACCAGCTTCTCTGCCTCCTCTTTCCCCAGGGAGTGATAAGCTGTACCACCAGTGGCTCTCCACAGTCCGGGTAAGTGTCACGGCCACCGAGCTACCAGGGCCCCTCCTTGGCTGCTGGCCAGCCTCCTCCTCCCCTGCCACCCACAATGCTGTCATTCGGCCCAGGGCACTGTGCGTGCCCAGCTGAAGATACTTTTGTTTGTAAAGCCAGGCCATTCTGGTGCCAGGTGGAGACTAGCAGGAAGAGACTGTCCAAAGCCCGCCCTCAATGAGGGTGATGAGAGCCAGGAGAAGCTTCCTTGTCTCAGGAAGCAGGCCGAGGCGTGTTGAAAGAATATTGCCTCCTCAGAGGATTTCTAGGGGTCTCTTTCTGGGGTCAGACCAGTTGGGAACTTTTCATGAGAAACTCCAAAATCAGTCCCACTTCCTGCTCTGAAATATGTTTCACAGCACAAGGCTCCTGGGAGGATGGAAAATGCATCACTGAGAGTTTTCGTCCCCTCACTATTGTTGTAAACAGTTTTTGATTGTGTTAGAATCCAGGTGCTAGGGTTTCAAAAGCCACTAAAGCATTCAGATGGTTGCCTTTCCTTAAGTTCATCAGTGAGTACCTACCGAAGGCATTCTAATGTGCCGGGCGCCACACTGGGCACTAGGATCCCGTGGGAAGCAGGGCACAGGCCCTGCCCTGGGGGAAGGCCCACTCTTACTGGGGAGGCAGGCACATAAACAGGCAGCTCCAGCATGGTGTGAGAAGTGTGCTCTCCTACTCGTGGGCCAAGCACACTGCTGCCAAGGCGGGTCCCTTGGAAGTGGCTGCAGTTGGCCGAGAGTAAGCGATTCCTCAATGAAAGGTTTCTTTTGTTCTTCTCGAATGGCCAAACATGGCACTTGGCAAATCACAGACAAGCAATAAGGACTTGTTGATTGATTGATAAAGGGAGTTTTAATACTCTAAAGGACCATTGAAATAGGATACTGAGTAATTTTGGAGAGCAGTATGGAACAAATGAGTGGGTGAAAATTTCCTATTATCCTACAACAGAGAATGCTTTCTAGGTCAAATTTTTGAAGTTTTTAATTAAAGCTCAAGGTTTCTAATACAGGCGGTTACCAAAAATTGTGCTAAAAGTTAATCCCAATAATTACCTAGTATGTCTGAATCTTTTGTATATGCCCTGGATCCAATTTCTCTTTCCATTCAAATCTGTTGGGATTGTTGCAGAAAAACCCAAATGAACTTTTGGGCCAGCCCAATATCTTTCCAAACCACCACAAATCTGATTATGTGATGCACTTGGTTAAAAATCCTCTGGAGTATGGACTGCTCATGCTGGCCCTGTATGGTTGACCCCATCTGGCTCTCAGTTCCACTCGCCAGTCCTCCTATGATGCACGGACTGTTGTTACTCACAGAACATGCCATGGCTCTGCAGCTTCTGTGCTTGTTTATGAGCTGCTTCCTGTCCCTAGAATGTCCTTATCCTCCCTGTCCCCAACACAAGCTCCTACTTGTCCTTCATGGACCAGATATTTCATCCTCTGATGCCTTCCCCACCCTGCTGCACAGTGAGCTGCCGCCACCTGCCTTGTGTACACGGCCAGCGTGGTTCTTGCCACCTTGGGTGGCACCTGTTTACCCCCCGGACTGGAAGTCTTTGAAGACAGAGACCAGCCCTCTAGTGGCTTGGTACCCTCAGAACCTAAACCGGGCCTCCCGACGTGAGTCCTTACAAGCAACACAGAAAACCAGGGGGAAGACAGGAGGGTGTGTGGCTTACGTTAGTCACAGTAGCCAGAAAACTTTGCCTCATCGGTCCCCAGTTTCCTGCCCCAGCTCAGTGTTAGCATCCATTGGTATTAAACTTATCTTAGTGTTGTCCGTGGTAACTAGAATTTCTTGAGAAGAAATTCTTGTAGACTTCTTGTAGAATATCTTGTAGATCACTCCAAAGAAAGCTTTGCCTCAGAGAGTCTGTGATGAGCTTTCCTCCCAGCCAGCAGACAGGTGCCAAGCAAAATATTGAGCCTGGGGTCCCACCTCAGCTAGTTTATCACCATCCACCATCCCCATTCCCCGCCCTCCACCCCCACACCCACCCATAGGGATTCTGCTGTGGTCGGAATTTAATTGCCCAGGACCAGTCACCATCTGCCTGTTCCTCTAATTAAGTTACACACTTCTGAAATGTTGCTTAACTTGATTAAAGAGAAGAGGTCTTTGTTGCTGTTGGCCTACTATATCTTCAATCCAAATTGCTAACTGATGTTTTTATTATAGAAAGGAAGTGGAGCGATTCTGAACACTGTAAAAACGAAAGCAAACCCAGCCATGAAGACTGTCTATAAGTTCGTAAGTACTGGTCTTGGTCTCAGGATCCAAACAGATCTGTTCCTGAGCATGATGACAAAACTCTTAGACTGAACCCTGTGTTGCAGAGCTAATTTGGGGGCTGCTGTGTTATTTCCTAAAGCTCTCAAAGCTCTCAGAATTGTTTAGTGTTGATATTTTATGACCAGGTCAGTGACATTTTTTAATTTAAAATGTTCCTGCACACAGTTGCTGCAATAGAGAAATGGGAGGCTACTTGTTTTAGCTTTTCAACTATAGATGAGGTGGTTAAAATTCTAGCACTCTGTCCCTAAGACTCAGAGGCTGTGGCCTCTCAGGTATTCTGGTAGACCTTTCCTGTGTGTATCCTCGCTATTATGTCAGAATAAAGCAGCTGCTCTGCAGGTTATTGAAGAGTGCTCATGGTGGGACACATGCCCAATTTTTTGTCCCAAATTCTTCATCATCTCTCTCATCACTGCCCTATAGGAAATGCATTGTTTGTGAAACTTGTGCCCACAACAGAGTGAAAATAAGAGAACACGCCAGTTCCCGACACTCCATCTTTTACGAGCCTCAAGTATTTTTTCTCATGGTTTCTCCTGCTTCCTAATTTGACTCCGAGCCACTTAACTGGGGTGGTTTTGTTTTATTTCCATTTTTAATTTTGTTAGTCCTTTCTGTGCTTAAATAGTAATTATTTTAACAGGGTGGGTGGCTGCCAAGAGAACCACACAGGTCGTAGAATGACAGAAAGTCAAAGCCAGGGTGTCTGCTGAAATGAAATTTAAGAAATGGCATCAGAAAAACCCAGCGATGTGTCTGTTTGGCCTGGGCAGAAAATTGGTCCTGAAGCCCTGCCCTGGTTAAGCGCAGTGGATATTCTGAACCTTGCAGCTGGAGAGGCTGCTGCTCTCCTCTTACTGGTAGCTGTCACCAGGCTGCGGAGATAAATAATTACAGAGAGCAGAAGCAGGGCTTCAGAGGTGGGGAAAAATCAGTGCCATCAAAATGCAGAAAATAAAATCTCTGTAGCCTCTTTAAGGGCTTTTTTTTAACCTTTCAACATTGTATTTGTTTTCGTAGCTATTATGTTTTCAACTTGATGATCCCATTTTCCTTCCTTTTTCTAGTAATCAGAGAAGGTGATTCACGATGGACTGAAATCAAGCACAGTCCCTGCTGGAAACAGAAGGGGAATCTTAACTTAAATTAATTTTTCATGCAGGCAAAAGATCATGCAAAAATGGGAATAAAAGAGGTGAAAAACCGCTTGAAGCAAAAGGTACTTGAAGTTCTTATTCAAAATGTATAAGCACCGTGTATGAAATCCGTGGCCACAAAAAAGTACGATGTGATCAATAGAGGCTGTTTGATACAGTGTTGTTAGCACACTTCAAAATGCATTACCAGCTGTCCGCGAGTTTTCACATTGTTATAAATATTCACAGACAAAAAACTGTCTTCAAATAACATTAAGACTGGCTTAAACCCACAAAGGCAAGCGAGTTCAGAGTTACTGCTATCAGTCTGTCCCCTGCTCACCCCACTGGGCCCGCACTTCACCAGGGTCCATACAGATTGGTTCGGTCTCCCCACCCCAGCACTACCAGCTCCTGCAGCTGACCTCTGCCCTGGGGCTGGTTGTAACCAAAATCAAGAAGCACCTCCAAGGAAATGACTGCCATGCTTCCAGCCAGCACGTGGGTTTGAGGAGGACACTGCAGGCTTTGCTTGCAGTTCATGTGTGAGACCCAAGGGGCAGGGAAAGACTCTGATTGTCTTCTTGGACCATCCGTAAACTCATATAAAATCATACAGACTGCATCCTGGCTAAGAGTGCCCCTACCTGATTCTCTAGACTTGTGCAGGGAAGTTACTGTAACAGAGAGGGCATTTTTATATTATAATGAATATCAGCATCAGTATTAGCACTGCCACCCTTCATTAAGCACTTTCTAAGGATGGTCCAGGCCAGGAACTTTCACATTTAATCCATAGAGCAACTCTGGGGGGGTATTATTCTTATATCCTGTGTAAGGAGACCCTCAGTTCAAAGGTGAAGTAATTTGCTCAAGGTCACACTGGTGGAGCCTGGCAGAGCCGGGATTCAACTCCAGATTCATCTACTTCAGTGTCTGTGTTCTTACCACTATAGTATTTCATACTGCCTTCTTGAAACAAGTGTTTTGTTTTCCAAAAGATGTTTGGGATCACTTACTTCGTTATCCCCAAAATGTGCCAGGTAATAAGGGTCTTTGTCTATCTCGGCAGTTTTTTAAAAAATTGAAAGCAGTTTTAATTTTAGGAAGTCAGAAAGGACCTCTCATTAACTTGAAATGGTCAAAGGAATTGATTCCTCTAATTGCAAAATAATTTGCTCTGACTAAGCATTCACATTCTTAGTTTCAGCTGGGAGTGAATTTTTAGCAGCTGAGATTCAAGTCCTGGAAATAAAAATCCTGCTAATGTAAATTCAGATAGACCTTAACTATGGTCTTTTGCACCCCACCAGAGACTGGCAGGTGGAATCCTTTACTTGGATGTTATTTAAGTCCCTAAATACACCTTTTTATCTCCTATCCCAGTCACGCGTAACTGAATTGGATTGCAGATGTAAAATAGAGGGGCAGGGAGGGCGGAGCTGTCACCAGGCTCTCGTTCCTTGATAACCACATCGGGCTGGTATTAGAAGGTTACTTGGAGGAAGCAGAGAAAGGTCCCCTCCTCAGGCAGAGGACACATGTGCCTCCTTGGTCAGATCTGTTCTCTGCAGGCCATCGCCTCCTTCCTCGTATGCATAAGCATCAGGCCTTAAGAAAATCCTCTTTTTATGATGGGTAAAATTTCTGCAAATAACCAGTTAAACTGAGGGCTTTTGATGTTGTTCAAAGGTTCACTTAGACAATCTAGATCACTCTTCTCCACGCCATCTCCCTTTCCTCTCCTTGATGGCATCTGAGGCAGAGTTTTCCCTCCCCTATTCCTCTTCCCCCTGCCAGTCTTTTCAAGAATAGCTTCAGGAGATAATGTTCTATAGAGAGTGTCAGTACATTTCAGGTGACACAAATGGTGAAGGCATTTCATAGAAATGTGGCTTGTCACCATCGGACTGTTGACAGATCTATTAGTGAACCCTTTTCAATTTTCACTTTTCCCCCCTTCGGTCTTACAGATTTCTGCAGACTTGATATTTTGCAGTTGTTCTTGGAAGAGCCATTTTGTAATTGAGACTCTAGCATTGTTTGGGACAGACGGGACCAGGTCTTCCACAGGGCTCTAGCTCCCTTTCCTGAGCTAATTTAGGATCTGGCTTTGTCTGACCTCTCTCACTGCAGTAGAAAATATTTCCTTCCCCCCACCCCCCGCCACCTTCCCTTTATGTGGCAACATATCTGTATGGCTCCCTGGATGCATCCCACGTAGACATCTCAAGTTTGGTCTCTGCTACAGAATCGTGGCTGTTCCCAACAAAGACCTAATTTTCAAATGTACTGGGTTGCCACCTGGCCTCCTCTAACTCTGCATAGCAATGGTGACCCTGCAGATATAATCAAGAACCCAACCTTGCCCTCTTCGCTCTTGCCTTGGGTTTGAATTGCAAATAGAAAATGTGGGGCCGACCTGTGGAGAGGTCAACATGGTATGTGGAGGTCCATCTCTAATATGACTGAGCAGGGCCCTTCTCCATCCCTCGTTCATTTGTGCTGCAGACTTTCAAAGCCTCTGAAAGAGGAGCTTTCAAAGTATCTGTGTGACCGTTGGCAAATAATTGTTAATAAAGACTGTAGTGTAGCTTTTATTCCATACCTGCTCCGCTTCAGCCCAACAACAAAAAAAGGATGGATAACACATTTCTCTGGATAAATGGAGCAAGGTGGTCAAATTCTTCTATAGCTTGGCCTTCTTTGAAGTTTAACTTGCTCAAAATTAGGAAGAAGAAATGGCAAGGAATGCTACCCAGCCATCACTTTCTAAAGGGAAAATCAGTGCTTTCGTCCAGAGCCCCTCCCCGCCAGACCTGGCCTGTTGGAAGGATGCTGCATGACTGGGCTGTGGTTCTCAACAAACCTCCTTCTGTTGCAGTGCTGTACACTGCTGCACCAAATGCCCTCTTTTAAAACCAGTAGCTATTCACACATTCCTTCTTTCCTATAAGGAACATTAAAATATTTATGTAAGGATGCCCCTCCCTTTCTTTTTCTTTTTTTGCCTATTGGAGAACCCCTAAAAAATTATATTTTTTTCTTCAGTATAAAATTAAAATGATTGAGTCAAATGGACCCGTTTCACAGCCTTTTTTTCTTTTTTTGGCCACACCATGCAGCTTGCAGGATCTTAGTTCCCCGACCAGGGATTGAACCCGGCCCAGGCCGCAGCTGTGAAAGGGCCAAATCCAAACCAGTGGACTGCCAGGAATTCCCTCACAGCCCTTTTTAAATATTTGATCTTTTAAAGATAAATCAAGCTTGTTGATTCAGAGTCTGTGTGATTGAAAGGAGCAGATTCATAGCTGAGTCAGCGAAGATCTAAGTTTCTGGTGAAACATTTCCTAGTGTATTAAAAGGAGTGAGGCAGCACCTTTGGGGCTGGGAGACCCAGGTAGACTCTTGTAGGACAGACATTTTCACACCACATCACACAACTGTCAGCTCCCTGTCTCCGCTGCAGCCTCAAATCACAGAAATTCCAACGCTGAATGCTATTTTCTATCAGTATTCATACTGTAGTTTGCATTTTCTGTAGCGTGAAGTAGACTGGAAAAGGACACTGTACAAATCCAAACATAAAGACCAGGAAGCTGAGTCAGAGACAGGAGGCCCCAGCCTCACACCCCCAAGAGCCTTCAAACCTCTCACTCTGTGATGTGGCTTTGGGGCCTCTGAAGCAGACAGATAAGCCAGGTTCAGTCCTGCCAGTTTTTCTCACTTATAAAGTAGAGGAAATAGAGATTTTTACTGGACTGTTGGCAAGGACTAGAAGAAATAATGGGTTTAAATAGCAACACATAGTAGCCATTTGGCAAATGGGAGATTCCATCCTGTCTGTCTTCTTCTGTCCCACATCTGGCGTGGCTGGTCTGCCCACACACTCGTGTGTGTACCTGGGGAGCATGGCTGGGCTGGGAGCCACTCCCTTTTCGTCCTCCACACAGCCACCAGAGTAGTCCTCCGGGCACCCTGCTCCCCGCTTCCCCTGGGCCAGGAATGTTCTCCTGGAATCTCTGCCTCATGAAGTCATATAGCCTCAGCTCCCTCACCCCAGCTCCTACCCAACACCATGCCAATCCCCTTCCTTCTTCTGGGTTCCCGTCTCGGGACTCCTCCTAGGGACTCGGTCCCTGCCTTCTCCACAGACAAATGGAGATTAGATCCCAGGCATGATCTCTGATTCCAGCCTGGGGAAGGTGATAGAAATTGTATTCTTTTCTGATTCCTTTGTTGACCAAGGGATGGGAACTAACAATCTCCCAGCTCTGAACAGAGCTATGGGAGAAATCTGCCAACCTTCAGCGGCCTCTTACCTGCAGCTCCATCTAGTGTCTTCCTCCTGTGTGACTCTTCAGGAAGGAACAGATTTATCCTGCCTGTTACCTTCTTGATTTTTTTTTTTTAAGGACATTTTGAGCATTTGCAAAAAAAAAAAAAAAAAAAAAAAAAATTGTGGAGAAAATTCAACAAATCAACATGAAAAAAAGGAAATTTTATAACCTCTATTTTCACTCACAGTATCCTGACCATTTCTCAAAACACTAAATGTTTCTTGCACATGTTGTTGTTTTAAATGGCTATATACAGTGACATACATACATTATTTAATCCCATTGCTAGATGCTTTAGTTAGTTCCAATGTTTTCTAGGCAAACATCCTCACAGGTAAGCCTTGCAAGAATTCTTAATTATTTCATCTGGATAAATTTCTGAAAGTAGACCTAGTGGGCCAGAGGCTCTTTCCTCTTTTAGGATTTTGATAGGAATTGCAGCTTATGTTCCCACCAGAAGAGTATGAGAGTTTTACCATACTCTTTGCTGATGGCATCTCAGTTAATTCTTAAAAGACAATTTATTTAATCACAGGTATCAAGCATTGTGTTTCTGGATCCATGCAGTATGTAAGATCTCTGCTGGTACCTGCAAGAGAGGGTGTGAACTGGCCCTATTTCTTTCCTGACTGGGACTTCTCCCTCTCTGCTCTCTAGGAACCTGGGAGGAAGCAGTTTTCCTACCCCAGGTGAAAGAAATAGTGGAGAAGTTAACAGATTAGTGGGGCGAGCCCCAGGACTTTGTAAGAAATCTTGGGCAGCTTTGGGTCTTCTAACTAAGGAAAATTAACATACATATTGATGCACAAGCACATGTGTATACTGGACACATTTGGCTTCCAAATGTTCTATTCAACAACGATTTGCTGTGATAGGGGTTCCTGAGGACAGGGTCACATCTGATGAGTTTTTGAGCACCTCCTTGACTCAGAATACCTTCTCCTGTGCTGTTGTCATGGGCCCGTGTGGTATAAATCACATTGCCCTGGGCTCCTCTGCTTCTAGCTGTGTGGCCTTGGGTGACTTGCCCTCTCTGAGCCCTGTTTTCCTCACCTATAAAAGAGCGATAATCCCATTTACCTTGTGGTTCTTGTGGAAACTAAGTGTGATAGTGAAGGTCAAGGGTCTGGAGAAGTGACTGCAAGTAGTAGGCACTCAGTACAGGGAAGCTCTTCCTTTTAGATGGTGCTTTTTCCATTTTGCAGGGAATAAGTCTTGTGTTCAATTTGCACAGGACTTAGACATTTTTCAAAGCTTCCTCACATCTCATCTCATTTAACCCATTCTCTTAGCAGCTTTGAAGTTTGCCAAGCAGATGGTGGTCTCCCCGTTGTAAAAATAAAGAAATAGGTACAGAGAGGTTGAGTGAATTGGAAAGATCAGATAGCTAGTTAATGGTAAAAGCAAAACCTAGGACATTTTTACTTGAAATGTTAACTTAAAAATTTAAGCTAAGACACTTTGCCCAAAACTACCACAGACATTTTTAAAAATAGTTATCATCTTATAGTTTTCATTACTCTCAGTATTTTCTTACCAGCTTACCTCACTACTTCATGTCTTTATTTTTCTCCCCAACCAGTCACAACGGTGCAGTACTTTTCCAGAACTAAAAGTGAATTGTTTTGCTTGGCTTTATTTAACCTCTTATGTGTGTCCTCTCGGTAACCCTGCTGAATCCATAATGCCCCTTGTGCCCTCTGTTACTTTCTGGCACAGAAGGAGTCCCTCCCTCTCTTTGTTCCACTTGACCTGAGCACCTTTGGGCAGCCCCTTTCCAAGAGAGCTGTTTCTAATTGGCTGGCGGCAGCTTCTCTCATCGCTGAGCCTCAGCCCAGCTCAGACTCAGGGGCCACTTGGTGCACGCCCTACCTAGCAAAACCAAGAGGTCACCATCTCCATGTGTTATTACCAAGCAGCACAGAGGCTCCACTGGGTGTGTGGAGTTGAATATATAGAGAGGAGGGGTGGGGGAGCAATCCCTATTGTTTATTTATTTTTATTAAAGTGTAGTTGATTTGGGGCTTCCATTGTAACTTGGTCAGTAAAGAATCTGCCTGCAGTGCAGGAGACCTGGGTTTGATTCCTGGGTTGGGAAGATTTCCTGGAGAAGGAAATGGCAACCTGCTCCAGTATTCTTGCCTGGAGAATCCCATGGACAGAGGAGCCTGGCAGGCTTTAGTCCGTGTGGTCACAGGAGTTGGACACGACTTAGTGACTAAACCACCATAGTTTATTTACTCCCTATAGTTTGTTGAGTGCCTCATTAGTAGGTACTCAGTTATTATTATTGAGTACCATACATAGGACACTCCTGAGGAAAAACATTCTAGATATTTATGTTGCTTAATCATCTTTATCCCTCATAGCTACCATAGCTCCATTTTACAGGTGAGGAGACTGAGGCTCAAAGATGTTCCGTGTTTCTTCTTTAATGCATTATTATTTAGTAAGGGATCACTTTCCTCCACATGCCACCATTCTCTTTATTTAACTCAATAAGAACAATCAATTGTCAAGTCTTTTATGTGCAGAATTTAATGAGTACCAAAGGTATATATCTTGTTGACCAAAATGTGTATTTGTTTTTGCAATGAAAATAGTTCAGTTCAGTCGCTCAGTCGTCTCTTTGCAACTCCATGGACTGCAGCACACCAGGCTTCCCTGTCTATCACCAACTCCCAGAGCTTGCTCAAACTCATGTCTATCGAGTCAGTGATACCATCCAACCATCTCATCCTCTGTCTGTATTTATTATTTTATTCTAACTGTGAGTTATTTTTACTTAGTTAAAAAAAATGATTTAAATGTTTTTTGCTTGTACATCTATTCTCTGCCTTGCTCAAATGAAGATTTAAGCAGCTTTCTTGACTTGAATAAAGCCATATGATCTACACTGCACAAGTTGGCACCATCCACATCCCGAAAGACCCACAGGTATAGTCAGCTGCCAGCGTTAGGGAAAGGAGAATCACTGCTTTTTGCACATTGGGGTTTTTCTTTACCTTAAAATTTGACTTTATTTATCACAAGCACAAATTAAATGTGAACTTCTAAATTTAAAAAAAAGATGACACTGGCTCCCTAACTTTTCTCCAGGTCATAGAATCCTAACTCAGACTTAAGTGTCTTTCTGCATTCTCTGCTGAAAAGACTAGGGCTAAGCAGGAGAGAGCAGGAACACACGGTTTTCACAAACAGTAATGTCATCAGTGTACAAATGCAGAGAAAATGTCCACACTCACAAATCATCAAAGTCATGCAAATTAAAACAACAGCAAGGTCTAGCTTTTCACCTCTTAAATTAGCAATACATTTTTAAAACGATATGGCTAACACGCACGGTGAAACTGATAATACATCCATTGCTGGTAGTTGGTGTAAATTGGAAAGCAATTTGGTAGAATGAATAAAAAGCCTTAAAAATGTTTATATCTTTTGATTGAGCAATTGCATTCCTAGGGATTTCTGTTAAAGAATTAATCCAAAAGAAAGATGGCAGTGTTTATCCCTGTGCTGTTTAGAAAGTTTAAGAAAAAAAAATTAGGAGTAATCTAAATGCCTAGTAGTAGTAAAAATGGTTTATTAAATTATTGAGTATCTGCTCAATGAAATATTATGTATCCATTAAAATGATCATTCAAATGACTGTATTGTACCATGGAAATGTTTATAACAGAAGAAACAGAATGTAAAATTATGCATGAGTTATGATTGCAAGTAATTTTCAAATGCCTGCATGTGGACAGAGTGAATATATAAAAATTAAAATAACTGTGTAAGGTAACAGGAGGAAAGATCTTCCCCACTATTGTGAATTATTATGTTGTCTTTATAATGTAATGTGCATGATTTTGGTTTCCCTAAGTGAAAGGGCCAAGTTAGCCTTCCATTTCCTCCATCTCTAGCAGGAGGGTCCGAGAGGGGGTTCTCCAGCAGGCATCTTAGCAGTAGGATGGGAAAGAACCCCTGTGCTCATGGCAGGGCCATAACCCAGACACCAACCCCCGGATGGGATTTCTCCCTGCAGGACATCACTGAGAATGGCTGTGCCCCCACCACAGAAGAGCAGCTGCCAAAGACTGCGCCGTCCCCACTGGTAGAGGCCAAGGACCCCAAGTTCCGAGAAGACCGGCGGCCAATCACAGTCCACTTTGGACAGGTATGTACCTGGCCCCTTGACTGGCCTGGGCTTTCTGTTATGTTTTAGTGGACGATATAACATATGTAAGTTTTTCATTTTGGCTCTCTCTGACAAAACAAAAACTCCATGGAGTTCTGCACATTGTCAAAGGTTCACTTGGTAGAAGCATGTTTCCAAAAAGGTGAATTTTCAGAAATTTTGAGAAGACAGTATGGCTCTGGTCATAAACCAGCTCAACTGTTAAGTGAAGTCATTAAATGCAGCTGCTGCCTCCCCATTCCAAGGCACTCGGTTTAAGGTGCCTCTGTTAGCTAAGCATCTCATTAGAACGCTTCAGCATCCCAGGCCCTTCTTTGCACCTTCAAATAAAAGACAACAAGTGAAGTCTTAAAAAATCAATTAGGAGTTCTTTATTAATATACTTCCTGAAAATCAATATTGGGGGTCGTGCTTCTCAGAGTAAACACCCGCACTATAATTCTCGTGATCCTATTCTGTAACCAACTTTTTTCAACCTGAGCATTTAAAACATTGTTCAGTTGTTTGATTTTTTTTTTCCTCTTAAGTAAAACAGAAACTGAAATTTTCCTTATCCATGTCCTATCAGTGATTATATTTTTGGTTGAAAAACATTGTATACCCTCCTCTACTTCTCTTGAATTGACTCTCTTGATGAGCCAAAGTCATAATTTCTTGATTTGTGAGAAATGGCTCTGTTAGCACGCTATGACTATAATAAGAATTTTCAGGGTTATTCATTCTTAAGTCACTTGATTCTTAACCATTAATTAGATGAAGCATGATTAAAATAATCTTCATGATTTTATCTTTAATATGATGCTATGTTATCACCTAAAAGATCTAGAAGCATGCATTTAAAATGGTCCTGCTTTTAACAGACATTTATCAAGTGCCTGCTATGTACCAGACTTTGAGCTATTTAGAAATGAAGGGAACTAATGAAACTGTTGCGGTGGGTTATTATGGTGAGGGATGAGTTTGTTGAAACGTAAGAATCTTCTTCTGTAATCAATATTTTTAGATAATACATTCATACATCTTAAACTTGGAGATATCCATCCCCCTTTTCTGATTTTACACTTTAAGGGGATGTTATAAAAATTGAAATGTAGTATAGGAAAGAGGCATCCACAGGGCAGTGCTCACTTGATTAATGATTATCTTCAAATTGCATCGGTGTTTGCACCCCAAGGAGCTGCCTCTTCCCGGGGTTCAAGCCTTGCTGGAGGAATCTGCACTCTAGTTCCCTGACTGTGCTTGCTGAAACCGCAGCCCCCGGTCGGTTGGTTGTCGCCAGCATGGCATTCCAGAGCCAGCTTCCTGCTTTCCTTTGTCCTCATTCCTGCACACACTAACCTTCCCATGAAAAGAGCCCCTCTCTGGAGTTTGGAGCCCATTACAGAGAAAGAGGGGGCGGGGGAGAGGGATTTCATGGTGTTAAACATTCCATTTTCGAAACACAAAAAAGGAGGCCCTATTTGAAATGGAGAAAGACCTTCTTTCCATTTCAGCAAGAAGTAGAGATGCTTTAATGTTATTCCCAGCTAAATGCAGAATAAGAGTGTGTGCACGCACGGGTGGGGGATAAACAATTTAAAAAGCCACCCCAAACTCTGTTGAAATAAGAGCTGTCTGTGCCTTCACAGGTCTGTAAACTGGAGAGGATGAAAGTGGCTTTTTTTCCCCGTTTGTCACTTCCCTCACGTGGCTGCCAGCATTATGCAAGTGTACAGGAAGGCAGGGTTTTTTTTTTTTAATGCATGCATGCGGATTAAGGTCAAGCCCCAAGTATCAGCCATGCAGCAGGCTCTCCCTTCCAGCTGCAGCCACAGAGCCTACCCACAGCCGCGAGATGCCTTAATTGAGACGTGCTGTCAAAGTGACAAACACATTTGCATACAGTCTACACTCTATTTATTTTCTCTGGAAAGGTCTACAGTCTGCTGTTGGTTGAACATTCTTAATCAGTTTGCTGTAAGTGAACTGCCAGCCAGCTCACTTGTGCCGAAGCTTCTTCATTAGGTGACAGATTAGCGGCAGGGGGGATGGGCCAGGGAAACCCAAGACCCCTTTCTTTTAACTCTTTCCAGTTTTGCCCTGGTACTAGCTTGGCCTTCAGTCCTTCCCTGGGTGCCTGCTTTGATGAACCATTGACCAGAACAGGCAGTGTTTCTAGAGCACCTTCTATCGGCAGGCATGTGTTTCAGGGGCTATGCATTCTCAAAGAAGCCTTTTGAGTTCCATTTCAGAGTTTTTTGCCACACTCTCCTCTGTATTCTATCTGTACTATTTTTTCTTTTTACTTCTTATTTTTCTTTAAACAGACTCCAACCTGACATTTATACTAATCTGACATTTTACTCTCTTTTTAAGCAGTGATGTTGATAAGCCCCTAGATTATCAATACTGGCCCAGTATTTTCATAAGGTCTATCTAAAACTACTCATATAGCCCCAATAGTACGTATTCTCCTTTTGGAAAACTTGTGTCATTTCTGCCATACCCCTCTGAGGGGGAGATCATTAACTGTATTTTGAGCCAGAGTCAGAGCTCAGAGACCTTCCCAGGACCATATTGCCAGCACAGGACAGTTCACCTCCAGAGCCCACTTCAGTTCCCTCACCAAGCAGAGACATCAGCTTCTGTTTGAAAGGTCCAGTAAAGCTACTGTGTTCTGGAAAAATAATTTAAGCTAGCCAGACAGTGCACGCTAACCTCAGAAAGACCCTTGCCTTGAGTCTATGTTTCTGTGGATTTCATTCTTTAAGAACCATTAGCTTTCCACTGGAGGCAGAGACTAGTGAGGTCTTGATTACATTCATCCCTCCACCTTGCAAAGTTAGTGCCCATGGAGCCAGCCAGGGGACTCCATGGAGACCTGTGGCCGGTTGCAGCAGGGTTGGGGGATGTTGTGAGTTGGGGGTGGGGGGGGAGGGGGTGGCCTTTGCAGAGCCCTCGGGGTGAAAAGGTGCTCTCTTGCCTCCGCTTCACTGGAGCTTCCTCTTTGAAGGCTATGACCATTTCTCCCTTTGATTCTGCATCTGTTCATCCAAGTGTAAAATAAATAAATAGATAAGTCCTTGTGGGGCATAATAAGGGTGACAGACCAGCAAATGGACAGCCCAACCCAGAGTGATGAGAACAGTGAGAGAGGTGAGCTCAGGGCTCTCTGAGGGTCCCCACAGGGGCATCCTCTTCACCTGCAGGTCCATTGTCTGTAGACCTAAGCTGGGCCCTGTAACTAAAAGACAACAAACTGAACTCTTTAGCCTTTCATTTCTTTTCTAAAGCAGACATAATGTAAGACCACTCACAGTTCATCATGAGCCATGTTGATGGTTCCAAACAAGGGCAAGTAAATGGATTTTTAGTTAGCCTCTGCATCCTTATCTAATTTCTTTAAAGAGTTCAGAAGTCTCTGACTTGAGAATACCTTTTCCTACCTTGGAAAATGTTTAGGTCTAAGGAGGCTGTAAATAACATTTTTTCTCTCAAGTTCAGAATGAGAAAGAAGGCCCAGGAGACAGTCAAATGAGATAAGGATGCCAGTTTTTTGTTTTTCGTTTTTTTACCAATAGGCTAAAAGGAAAATATGGCTTTAGACCTGAAGCCAAATGGGCTTGCTCACACCTCAGCTCTGAATTGAAAAGACTGAGCTATGCCCCACAGGAAATGTGGGCAGTTTCAGGCAGTGCCCAGGGTGCCTGTGCATTGGCAGCTATGTGTGTGTGGTAGGGTGGGGAGTGGGGGTAGTGCCAGGAGCACAGAGCGTGCTTAGTCCCATCTCCCGACTCAAAGGGAGACACTTTCCTCTCCTGGCAGCTGAGAGCCCGAAGGCCCAGAGAGAACCTGAGGAGGCCCCGTGCTTTTGTCTCCTGTATGGAGAAGTGGGCCTTCTCTCCTCTCTGTGGCTGGGGAAGGAGTGAGGAAGCCCCACCCTCCCCAGCAGGGTCTGGGCACCCCTCAGCCAGACGTCTTGCCTCAGCCCTTCCCGCTCTGAGGGATCAGCAGAGGGAGCAGCCCTGGAAACTGCTGTGCTCCCTGTGTTTAATTAGGTGGACAGGCTTCTTGGTGCTTTCACTTCTGTACTCATCTAATTTTTTTTTTTTAACTTGGAAGACATTTACATCTATTTTTACTTTCCCACATCACCAATCATGGGTTTGGGTGGCTTGTATCTCTATCAGGGAAATATGGCACTATTGACTGACTATTGTATCCAATGGAGAACTCAATCTTTGATCACTTCATTCAGGGCTCCTGGATTTGGTCCCATCAGTCCCTCTTTGAAAAGACCTATGAAACACGTATATTATCTAGGGTGAAACAGATCACCAGCCCAGGTTGGGTGCATGAGACAAGTGCTCGGGCCTGGTGCACTGGGAAGACCCAGAGGGATCGGGTGGAGAGGGAGGTAGGAGGGGGGACCGGGATGGGGAATACATGTAAATCCATGGCTAATTCATTTCAATGTATGACAAAACCCACTGCAATGATGTAAAGTAATTAGCCTCCAACTAATAAAAATAAATGAAAAAAAAAAAGACCTATGTACTAATTTAGTTGAATCTTTTGTTTTCTTTGGCTGCAGTGGATCTTAGTTGTAGCACATGGAATCTTCCTTGCAGCATATGGGAGCTAGTTCCCTGACAAGGCATCAAACCTTGGTCCCCTGCATTGGGAACGCAAAGTCTTAGCCACTGGACCACCAGGGAAGTCCCTTAATTGAATCTTTGACATCAAGTGGTAAGGAAGATGGTCTCATAAATATCATAGAGTTGGGGAAACAGGTCCAGAAGACGTTTGCTTGATTTAGGAGCTAATTCTTACTCCACCACCAGCAGCAGCCCTCTTCTCTCAACTGAGTGCAGCTCTCCCTCCCTGGCTTTGGGGACTGGGCTGACAGTGGCACCCAGGGACCCTGAATTCTAGTCCTGGACATGTGCCGCTGTGTGCCATGGTCCTTGGCCAGGGACTGGGCCTTCTCAGGAGGTGGC